CTGAGTCAGAGCACGAGTCGGGGGGGTGCCTTTCTGAGGGCCTGCCAGTGACAAAGCCCCCAGAACAGCCAGAGGGGCTCCCCACTCAGCACGGAGGCTTCCAGGCTGTGTGCTGCCCCTTGTGACCCACACAGGTGCTGGGTCGAAGCCGCTGGCCGCAGGGCTCTGCCATCCGTGCCGCCTGGCAGGTGGGGTCCGGACCGTTGGCCCTGGGCACGGCCCCCACCACCTGGAGCCGGTCCTCACCCTGCTGCCTGAGGCCAGGCGTCTGTCCCGCACCGGGACAACCTGGCGGTCCAGGCAGAGGACTAGGTCTGGGGGTTCGGCGGCAATCGTTAGGGGTGGGGGGGCCCGCCCTCTCCACACCTCAGCACGCAACCCCAGTTGAACTCGGTCCGGATCACCGGTTCATCGGTTGCTTAAGCCACGGAAGCAATGCCACTGAGCATTTGCAGCCTCCGCCACCGTACATGGCAGAACCCAAAACCCCACTTGGGCACAAATGAAGAAAATAAGTCCCAAGAGAAATAAAAGAAATTATAAAGTGCAAAACAACTTATTTTCCCCGAAGGCTGGGAAGGCAGCAAAGGCGGCGCTCGGAAGGAAGTCCGCACTGCCCGACGTGAACCTAAAAGGAACAGGAGAACATAAACACGAAACCGGAACAGAAGTCGGTGACACTGAAAAGAGGAAAGTGATTTTTTTAAAACAGTGAAACCCAAGCTGGTTCTTTGGGGGCGGGCCGGGGGACGTCAGGAGGACTGAAACTCCCACGGCCAGGTGACCAGAAACACAGAGAGAAGTCCCTGCCAGGAGAAGCGAGCGGCAGCCCCTGCTGTGCCTGTGCACAGGGCGGGGACCACGAGGACGCTCAGGGCAACTGCGTGCCCACAGGTTTGACAACTGAGGTGGAAGGGACCGATCCCTGAAACGCCCATCCCTAAATGGACCCGTACCCACACTCACACAAGGAAAAAAAGATAAATAAAATAGGCCTGTATTTATAAAATCAGTTGTGCCTGGCTGGTGTAGCTCGGTGGATTGTCACTGGCCTGTGAACCAGAAGGTCACGGGTTCAATTCCCGGTCAGGGCACGTGCCTGGCTTGCAGGCCAGGTCCCCAGTGGGAGGCGTGAGGGAGGCAACCACACACTGATGTTTCTCTCCCTTTTTTTCTCCCTCCCTTCCCTTCTGTCTATAAATAAAGTCTTTAAAAAAATTTTTTTAATCAATTGAAGCAATAATTAATAACCTTCCAAACAAGAGAGCACTGGGCCCAGAAATTTATTTCCACTGGTGAATGGTCTTAAACTTTTAAAAAGATTTTTTTTATTTATCTTTGGAGAGAGGGGAAGGCAAGGAGAAGGAGAGGGAGAGAAACATCAGTGTGTGGTTTTCTCTCACCCACCAGGGGCCCCTGCCAGCAACCCGGCCACGTGCCCTGACTGGAAATCGAACCGGCAACCCTTTGGTTCGCAGTCTGGCACTCAATCCACTGAGCCACAGCAGCCAGAGCTGAATTGTATTAAACTTATATATATATATATATATATATATAATTTGGGCGATTTAATTCATTTTTTAAAGATTTTATTTATTTATTTTTAGAGAAAGGGGAAAGGAAGGAGAAAGAGAAGAAAAGAAACATCACTGTGTGGTTGCTTCTCGTGTGCCCCCTACTGGGGTCCTGGCCTGCAACCCAGGCATTTGCCCTGACTGGGAACTGAACTAGCGACCCTTCGGTTTGCAGGCCGGCACTCAATCCACTGAGCCACAGCAGCCAGAGCTGAATTGTATTAAATTTTTAAGGAACAAATATTATCCATTGTCTATAATCTTTTCCAGGAAATAGAAACAGGAAAAAATGCTTCTTACCTCATTTTGAGGCCAGTATGACCCTAAGGAAGCCAAAACCAGACAAAGACATAAAAAGGAAAAAGAATCCACAGATCACTACAGGCCAATACCTCTCATGCATGCATGCAAAAACCCTCAGCAAAAAATGAGCCAATCAAATCCAACAATGAATTGCACTCCACAAAAAGAATTCTATGCCTCTACCAGGTAGGACTGATTCCAGGTGTGCAAAGCTGTTTGAATATTTTAAAAGTTAATTAATGTATTTCACATCTACAAGCTAAGAAAGAAAAATAATGCCCTGGCTCATGTGGCTCAGTGGACCAAGTGCCAGTCTGAACCAAAGGGTCGCCGGTTCAATCCCCAGTCAGGACACATGCCTGGGTTGTGGGCCAGGTTCCCAGTAGGGGGCGTGTGAGAGGCAACCACACATGGATGTTTCTCTCCCTCTCTTTCTCCCTCCTTTCCCCTCTCTAAAAGTAAATAAATAAAATCTTTATTAAAAAATATCTTCAAAATGGGCAATAGATCTGGACAGATACCTCACCAAAGGAGACACAGCCAAGGGGCTGTCCTCAGTGGCCAGAGCTGGGGCGGTCGGAGCAGCACAGGAGGGGCAGTGCTGCGTCAGGACCCCAAGTGAGAGCGCGTGTCCGCGGCCACGCTGACCAGGACACGGGTCACAGGGGTGGGGGGCCGCTATCCCACGCAGCGAGCGCCTGCAGCCCTGAGGTCCGGCGTGCGCAGCGACACGCTGGTCCTCACCGGGACGGCGGCTGGGCCGTGCTGGTGGCACTCCCACCATACTCCCATCGCCCAGAGGCAGCCGGGCTGACGGAACGGGGGTGGGGGTGGGACGGGCCCTGGGAAACGTGAGGCACCAGCTGGTGGCTACGCTGTGGAGCTGGCAGCGGGCCCTGGGCTGCGGCAGAGGCTGAGTCAGCGAGGCACGGCCCTGCCACGGGCTCCAGGCCCGGGTGTGCGGAGGTGGCCGTGGCGGTGGCGGTGTTGTGATCCTGGACGGTCCGTCCTCTGGTGAGACACCTGCTTCCTGGCCAGGCACGCAGGCCCCCGCGGGGCCAGGCTCCTCGATTTGGAAAGGGAGCGGCTTTAGGGTGACCACGACCATGGCCCTGGCACCGAAAGTCCCACACCCGAGGCCTCTCTGTCCTGGGCCGGCCCCAGGGGACGTTCCCCAGCAGACACACGGGACAGGGAGGTGAGTCTGCCACTTCTGCCTGGGGGAGCGACCCTGAGCCGGCTGGGGTGAGGGGTCCCCTGATGGAAAGCGGGGCTTTCGCTGCGGAACAGGGATGAGGAGGGCAAGGTCGGGGCAGCGGGAGGTGGGTGGGGAACGAGAACCACCGGGACCCCGAGTTGCCCCACCGGCGGGGCACAGAGGGAACATGGGCCAGGGCGTGGGGGTGGGGACAGAGACCAGCGACACACGCGTGACCTCAGGGACACCCCCAGGGACCAACGCTCACACGGCACTCGCAGGTTCCCCCCGTCCTCTCCCTCCCCTTCCATCTACAGTGACCTTACATCTCAGAGTTTGCCCCGTGTCCGGAAACATCTGCACGAATCCCATCCTTAGAGTGCACGTGACTCAGAGTCAGCGTCACCCGAAGGTGGAGAGAGTGACGGGGAACCTTCCTTCCATCTCCCCGGGGGAAATGCCCTGCTTGGGCTGGGGCAGCGGCACCAGATGAAGCCGAAGCTCGATCCCACCCTTGCGTTTACTTGGAGGCTGGACAGGTTTGGGGAAATTGCGTGTGCGTGCCGGGCCGTCGGGAGGGGTACCTGCCAGGGCAGGGGGTGCCGTCAGCTCGCGGGAGCTGGAGGTCGGAGAGGTGGGGGGGGGGGGTTGCTGCGCCTGGGGTGGCTGCAGGAGGCACAGAGGTGTCTCCCACCCTCCGGCCACCTGCTGGTTTCCAGCGCCTGCCTGCTATGGTTTGTCTACTTCTCGGATCAGCTGTCACTCCCCCAAGCGGGACCACCCTGCCCGAAGAGACCCTCCCCTCCAACCCATCTACCCGTTGCCCTGTACGTCCTTTGCAGCACTTACCAGGATCTGAACCTGTGACTTGTGCCCGTTTTTGCCTCTGCTTGGAAAAACATAAACTCTGCCCCGCCTTGCTCAGTGCATTGAGCAAGCCAACGGGTTGCTAGTTCAATTCCCAGTCAGGTCACTTGCCTGGGTTGGGGGCCAGGTCCCCAGTGGGGGGGGGGTGCGAAAGGCAACCACACACTGATGTTTTTCTCCCTCTCTTTTCCCTCACTTCCCTACTCTCTAAAAATAGATAAATATTGTTTTAAAAAGGAGAAGTGTTCTTCAAACAAAAAAAGAAAAGAAAAATATAAACTTTGGGCCTCCTCAGCCCCGCCTCCATCACGCCCCAGCCCCCTCACCTACCCACGCGTGTCTGTTCCCCAAACTTCCTCTCTCCCTCCACCTTGAGCCCCACTCCCGGTTGGCTGTTTGCAGGGGGCTTGTTCCAACTCCAAGGCCAGGCTGCCCCCCACACGCATGAAGCCCCCGGTGTCCCCGCCGTCGCCCCCCACCCACAGCCCGCACCTCGCCTCGCGCTCCCTCCCTGCACACCCGGGTGCTCCGCCCTGCGTTCCGACCCCCGCGTCCCCGAGTCTCCCGGTCCTCCGCACCTCCCCTTCTTCGCACCTCCCCATCCCCTGTGCATCTCCGACCCGTGCCCCGAGCCCCGCGTCCCCGCACCTCCCCACACCGCCTCCCCACCCCCAGCCCCGCGCCCTGTCCGGCGTCTGCCGCCGCCCTTCGCATTCCCTTGTCCCCGCGTCCCGCATCCCCGTCCCTTCCTCGGCTCTCGTCCCATCCCGGACGCCAGCGCCCCCGCGCCGCACAGGCCGGCGCGCCCAGGTGGATGCGCGCGCGTTGCGTGGAGACAGGCGCCCGGCACACCCTAGCACGCCGGCCCGCCTCCCGCGCCGCGGATTGGCTTCCCGCGGGCTGGCGGGACCCGATTGGCTCGCGCCGCGCGCAGGCCGGGCCCGTTTCACGGTGGGTAGCACCGCATCGTGGATGCTGCTCAGTCCCGCCGCGGCCCCCAGGAGCTTGGAGCCCCAGCGCCCGGGCGGGGCCGGGCGGGGGCACCGCCTGAGCCGCTCCGCCGCCGTCCCCGGGCCCGCGGCCAAGGGCATCCTAGGGTCGCGGCCGCAGCCTTTGGTTGCGGGCGGCGGACAAAGGGCCATGCAGGGCCGAGGGATGCGGCGCGGAGCGCGCGGGAGCCGCTGAGCGCGGCCCGGGGCGGGGCGGGACCGGCCGCGATGCCGTGGTTCCCGGTGAAGAAGATCCGCAAGCAGATAAAGCTGCTACTCCTGCTGGTGCTGCTCACCTGCGCCGCGTGGCTCACGTACGTGCACCTGAGCCTGGTGCGCCAGGGCCGCGCGCTGCGCCAGCGGCTGGGCTACGGGCGAGGTACGGGAGGGGGCGCGCGCCCTGGGGAGGGGGCGGTGAGGGCCCTGAGCAGGGTTGGTCCCAGCCCTCCCGGCGCCCGGCTCCCGACGCGGGCCAGACCCACCCGCAGCCCTCGTCCGCCCTTCCCAGAGCGGCTGGATTGGGGCAGGGGGCGCAGTTTGGCCGGTCCAGGACACCCAGTGACGTCATCAGTGGCGAGCGAGCGCGACCCTCTTGGGAACGTCCCGGAACCTGGGCAGACCGGGCTTTGGCCGGGCCCGGCGGTGACAGGGTTAACAGGGATCTCCCCGGGCGCGCTGGGAGTTCCAGAAGCGGAGCCCAGCTGCTGCCTCCACCGCTGGTCTGTGCACTTAGCACAGCCCCGGATTCCCCATCCGCTGGGGGGTGGGGGTGGCGGGCGGGGGGCGCAGAGAGCCGCGGGAAGGCGTCCCGGAGCGCGCGCCCCAGGTGCACCTGTGCCCCGGGCCGTGTGATGGGGGAAGACTTGGCGGCGGAGCCATCGCGGGGTGAACTCGCGCGGGCTGCTGGCGCTGACCCTCCAGTGGGGACAGACAGCGCCCCCGGGAGACACCTGGGGCCCTGGTGAGCTCGGTGGGCGAGCCAGAGGAGGGGGCCCTGGAAGGCCCTTGACGCAACCTTTGGGGGAAGGGCGCTCCAACGGCAGGAACAGCATGGCAACCGAGTGCCGTGAGGAGGAAGGACAGAGCGCCGGGCCCCGACAAGAGAACAGGGGAGAGGGAACCTCCTCAGGCCGGAAACATCCCAGCCAGGCTGCCCCATGCCTCTCCAGGAGGTGGGGTATCCTTGGGGGGTGGCGGCGAGAGTCCCAACAATGACTCTGACTCACCGCCTCTGGGGCCCATCCACTGAGGGGTCCAGACCTCCCGGCTGGGCCCCATTCCCTCCCCCGCTCACCGAAGCCCCTCCCCCTCCCTGCGGTGTGCCGGATGCCTGGCCCCATGGACCCCAGGCCAGGGGTCTGGCCTTGACGCCACCCCCACCCCCAAGCCATGCCCCTCACAGACACCTCACCTTCAAGAGGCCTCCAGCAAGGCTCAGCCCCCAAAAGGAGCACCCTCCCCCGGCCTCCCCTCCACCCCGCCACCTATCAGCGAATAAGGCAGGACCCCGGAGCATGAGCCAGGACTGGGCAACACCAGCCCGCTCCTCACACAGCTGTGTGGTTTTCGGAGCAGCCACAGTCCTCCCCAACCTGACTTCCTGAGCAGCGGGGAAGCCTAGCTCAGCAAAGCGGAGTGGGAGGAGGTGTGGGAACTCCACTCCTGGGGCCTGTGACGCCGGGCAGGAGCTGTTCAGGGTCCTGGAAGACCAAGCCTCACATGGCACCCTCCAGGGGCGGCCCCCGCCCCCAGGCTGCAGCCCCTCCTCCTGCTCAGGCGCCTGTGCCCCAGCCAGGGCAGGAGCTGGACATGCCTGCGGCCATCCTGACTGTGGGTCCGTGATGCCTTCACCTCCAGCAGGGAGGCCACCTTGGGACGGGGCAGCAGTATCTTCCCAGTGTCCAGCATCCTGTGCAGTCAGAGGTCCCCCAGGGAGGAGGGGTGGGAGCCAGGGAGCCTGTCCAGACCTCGCCGTGCTGGGGCTGAGCCCCGTAGGACCACGGTAGCAGCCTGGGCTGGGGTCCTATTCCAGAAGGCTCCCCCGGGATGGGCACGGATATCACAGCCCAGGCCTGGCCCTGGGACAGAGGGGAGATCCTGGGTTGGGTGTTTCTGGGAGGGGGTCCTGGAGGGCAGAGGTGGGGTGCAGTGAGGCCTCCCCTCAGAGGCCTAGACCCAGGTTTGGACTCCCAGTGGTGGGAGATGTTCAGGAAGGAGGCCTGGGTGTTGGGGGTCCAGAGGTGGTCTGCCCCGGGCTAGGAGGCTGGGGTTACCACGTGCACAGACGGACCTGGGACGGGTTCTGAGCCAGAGCAGCGTGCCTGTCCCTCCTCTGCTGGGGGGGGCAGTGCCCGGGCTCCTTTGGTCCCTGGCCCCCGTCTCAAGGGCAGGAGGTGGTGCAACCACAGCGGGGGTGGCTCAGCCTCAAGACAAAAAGCTCCAGCAACAACCAACCCTTAGCGCTTGGTTCTGGGAAGGGAGGCAGGCGCAAGACACCCCGGCACACGGGAGGAGAGCTGAGGGCACAGAGCGGTGCTGGGGGTCATCCTGGAGGTGGAGTCCCCGGGGAGGCTAGCCAGATGCGGGGGGTGTGCACACACATAACTCTGATCTGCTCCCCCACACCCGCCAGGGCCTGGGAGAGCCAGGTACAGGGCTCCAGGCCGCTGCAGTGGGACATGGGAGAAGGCCCCAGCACCTGTCCCGCTGAAGGGCAGGATGCCTGGTAGCACGAGGGAGCTGAGGGCGGAGGGGCCTCAGTGGGAGACGCTGGCCTTCCTGCCCTGGTCCGACCATGGGGATGGCAGTGCCTGACCCCAGCAGCAGGGCCGGTGGCCCCGGGGAGATCCTGGGCCCTGGTCACACCCACGTGTCCCCCACAGACGGTGAGAAGCTGACCGGTGTGACGGACGGCCGGGGCGTCCGGGGGGCGCTGTCCACTGGAAGGGCAGAAGACTCCAGCGAGAGCCGCGAGGAGGAGCAGGCGGTGAGCAGGGCCGTGGGAGAGGCCCCCGTGTCCCACACACGGGGACCCTGAGTCCGTGCGTGTGGCTCGGGGGTGGCCCGGCACCACTCTCGGCCCAGACTCAGGCAGAGGCGGGCCTGGAGGTCCAGTGGGCGTGGGGCCGAGCCCGGGCCGAGAGGCCCTCCCCGCCTTCACGTTGCTCAGCTCGGCCCCGGTGCGCTTCCTCTCCTGCAGCCCGACGGCCAGGGCCCAGACATGCTGCTTCCTGGGGCCACCGGAAGGCTGCCCCCCCTGAACCTCACCCATCGGGCCCCCCCGTGGCGGGAGGAGGTGAGCTCTGAGCCTGCGGGGGCCTGGGGGCCGGGGGGGCCGGGTGGGCCGGGCGGGCTGGGCGGAAGGTGAGAGCCTCCTCCCTCCCCAGTACCTGGGGCAGGCCAACCTGCATGTGTTCGAGGACTGGTGCGGCGGTGCCGTGGGCCACCTGAGGAGGAACCTGCACTTCCCTCTGTTCCCTCACGTGAGTGCCTGGGGGCCGGGCCGGGTGGGGCCCCACTGGCCCTGGGGGGGGAGGGGTCGAGTGGGGGCTGACGCCAGAGTCCCTGCCCAGATGCGCACCACCGTGAAGAAGCTGGCCGTGTCCCCCAAGTGGAAGAACTACGGGCTCCGCATCTTCGGCTTCCTCCACCCGGCGAGGGATGGTGCGTGGAAGGGGCCTCGAGGGGGGTGGGGGCCTGCCCTGCAGGGCCCACAACCCCCTGAGCCCCCATCTCGTGGCCTAGGAGACGTCCAGTTCTCTGTGGCTTCGGATGACAACTCTGAGTTCTGGCTGAGCCCCAATGAGAGCCCGGCAGGTGCCCGGCTGGTGGCCTTTGTGGGCAAGGTACCCTGACCCCAGCCCTGCCCTCCACCCACCCCTGCCTCTCTCTTTGCTGGGTTCCCTGTGGCTGCGGTCCCCGAGCTCCTCCAGCTCCTCAGAACAGGGTCGGGTGGGCTGGCGCCCCCACAGAGAGGGTGAGCCCCCGCCTCGTGTCACCCCCCTAGACTGGCTCTGAATGGACGGCGCCTGGAGAGTTCACCAAATTCAGCTCCCAGGTGTCCAAGCCCAGACGGTGAGTGACAGGGAGCATGTGCCCACACGAGTGCCCGCGTGAGGGCCGGAGGGACGGGTCCTGAGCCCCCCACCTCCTCTGGGGTCCTTGGGGCGGAGCAGAGCATGCCCCCCTGATGCCTCGTGCCCCCAGGCTCATGGCCTCCCGGAGGTACTACTTCGAGCTGCTGCACAAACAGGACGACCGAGGCTCGGACCACGTGGAAGTGGGGGTGAGTGCGCCCCAGCCCCCCCACAACCCCGCCGCCCCCCCCCCCCGCAACCCCGTCCCTGTGGAAGGAAAGACAGCTGTGGGCCCTGCCCACAGGGGCTTCCTGTCTCATGACATGACAGGCGTCAGCACTTTTGGGAGGCTTCCTGGAGGAGGTGGCCCTTGAGTGATGAGAGGCTGGGGGGAGGGAGTGGGGGGAGGGGGCATCGGGAGCCGTCCCGAGCAGCAGGGCCTGGGCCGCTCCGGCTTCCGAGAGTGAGGCCGCCGTGCGGAGGAGAGAGCCTGGGGGTGCTGGTGCAGTCTCGGACGGGAGGTGGGTTTGGGAGAGCGGCAGCACAGAGGCCTGCGCCCGGCTGAGGGTGGGCCGGTGACCGTGGTGGGCGAGGGGACGCTCGGCCCAGCTCTGGGGCGCCCCGGGTGTGTGGCGTGTCACCTCGCTGGGTGGCGGGTCGGGGCTGAGATATGGGTTTGGGGTGAGCTTTCAGAGGCCAGGTGTGGCGGGCTCAGGATGAGTGAGGAAGAGAAGAGGGCCTGCCTGGGGCAGCCCTCGGGACCCCCAACTTGAGGGGGGCCGGGGAGGGACAGCCCCTGCAAAGGGGACTGGGGAGCAGCTGCAGAAGTGGGGGGTGGGGGAGGCGTGGGCTCTGGCCCTTGGAGGGGCCATGGCCTCCAGGACCTCAGTGGACTGCAGACTGGGGTCGGGGGCAGGTGAGGGAGCACCTGGGATGCCAGGACAGGCTCGGGGGGGCCCTTGCCTGCCCGCAGGGTGCCCAGCCTTCTGGGCCTCCCCTGGCTTCCTGCAGCCCCTCCCTGGGACCCCTGGGGGCTTCCTGCGTCCTTGAGGGGCCGGCCCCGCCTCATCCCCTGCTGTCTGGTCAGGGAAGACCCACACCTCTCTGTCCCCGCTGTGTCCCCACCCCTCCCCACCCCACCCTCCGGTCGTGACCACCGTCTCCGCCCCCCAGTGGCGAGCCTTCCTGCCGGGCCTGAAGTTCGAGGTCATAGGCTCTGCGCACATCTCCCTGTACGCAGGTACGGGGCTGGGGCCTCTCCAGGTGCGTGGGGGGTGGCCTCCGGGTGTGGGCAGGGAGGGGGAGGGGCGTTCTGGGCAGCGCGCACACCCTTCCTTCCCCAGAGGAGTCAGCCCTGAAGATGGACCACGTGGCCCACGTCCCGCAGTCCCCAGCCAGCCACGTGGGGGCGCGCCTGCCGCAGGAGGAGCCCAGGGCCGACATGCTGAGGCCAGACCCCCGAGACACCTTCTTCCTCAGTGAGAGGGGGCCCGCCGGGTGGGGAGGCCGTGGGGGCTCTGGGCTGCTGGGCTGAGGCCAGCCTTCCCGCAGCTCCCCGCGTGGAGCCCTCGCGTCTGGAGAACGTGCTGGAGCCCTGCGCCTACGCGCCCACCTACGTGGTCAAGGACTTTCCCATCGCGAGATACCAGGGACTACAGTTTGTAAGTGCCGCTGGCCAAGACGGTCCGGGGCCCTGAGTCCGGGGCCCTCCCCACCAGGGTCCCCGGAGCGCCCCCAGCCCTGCCCTGAGCCCTCTGCGCCGCCCCAGGTGTACCTGTCCTTCGTTTATCCCAATGACCACACGCGCCTCACTCACATGGAGACGGAGAACAAGTGCTTCTACCGAGAATCGCCGCTGTACCTGGAAAGGTGGGTGGGGCGGCGCCAGGCAGGGGGCGGGGCCTCTGCGAGCGGGCTCTGATGCTCCGCCCCCGCAGGTTTGGGTTCTATAAGTACATGAAGATGGACCAGGAGGAGGAGGGGGAGGAAGACGAGCAGGTGCAGCGCCGGGCCTTCCTCTTCCTCAACCCGGGCGGTGAGCGCCCCCCCCCCACCCCGCCCACACGCCCCCAGCTGGCGCCCGCCGGGCGGGTCGGGCTGAACAGCGCTCTCCGCAGACTTCCTGGACGAAGAGGACGACCGGGAGCTGCTGGACAGTCTGGAACCCACGGAGGCGGGCCCGACGAGGAGCGGCCGCCGCCGGGCGGCTGCCAGAGCCCCCACGGAGGCTGGCGCCACCCCCACCCCGCCCACGCCCCCTGGGCCCACGCACCAGCGGATCCCCAGGCGCTCCCGGGCGCTGAGCTGGGCCGCCAGGGCCGCCCGGCCGCTGCCCCTGCTCCTGGGCCGCGCCCCGCCGCCCCGCGCCGCAGCGGCTCAGCAGCCCGCAAAGGTCTATGTGACTCGGGTGCGGCCGGGCCCGCGGGCGCCCCCTCGGGCCCTGGAGGCGCTCAGCCCAGGTGGCCCGCCGTGGCCGCCTTTCCCCGGGGTCTTCCTGCGCCCGAGACCTCTGCCCAGGGTGCAGCTGCGGGCGCCCCCACGCCCGCCCCGATCTCGAGGCTATAGGACCGGAGGCTCCCAGGCCACAGGGCCGAGGCCTCCCTCCCAGGCGCAGGCCACCCAGGGGAGCCGGCAGGGCCCGTCACAGCCGCTAGTACACGCAGCGCCCACGGAGAACTTGAATACGTCGTCCGAAACCCAGCCCGTGACCTCCTTCCTCAGCTTGTCCCAGGTGTCCAGGCCGCAGCTGCCTGGCGGGGAGGAGGAGGAGGAGGAGGAGGAGGAGGAAGGGGACGACGGGGCGCCGGGTGACGAGGCCGCCTCGGAGGACAGCGAGGAGGCCGCGGGCCCTACGCTCAGCCGCTGGCGCGAGGAGGCCATCGACTGGCGGCGCACGTTCAGCGTGGGCGCGGTGGACTTCGAGCTGCTGCGCTCGGACTGGAACGACCTGCGCTGCAACGTGTCCGGGAACCTGCAGCTGCCGGAGGCCGAGGCCGTGGACGTGGTAGCGCAGTACATGGAGCGGCTGAACGCCCGCCACAGCGGGTAGGGGGAGGGGCACGGGGGTGGAGACCCCGCCTCCTTGGGACCCTCAGGGAGGGTGTCCTCTCCTTCCTGGACCCGTTACTGCCTGGGGCCCCGTCCGATGCTGGGAACCCCACGCCCACCCCTGGCAGGGCTGACTCCCTGCCCCGCACCTCCAAACCCCAGCCTGTCCCTTGGGCCCGGGTCCAGCAATGCCTCTGAATGCTCAGGCCACTGCTGCACCCCGAGGTCAGGCTGAGAGCCCCCAGGCCCCTCCTCTGCCGGCAGAGCCTCCCTGGGCCCCGCAGTGGGGTCTCCTGGGGAGGGGCTAGCCCAGGCCGGCTCCTGCCCCGCTGCCCTCGGGGGTCAGCCCCAGGCTCCGGGCACCCCCTCTGGCCTCGGGGAGGCGCTGGGGGCTGCGCAGAGCTGTGCTGTGCCTGGAAGGGGGGCAGAACCCGGTCGTGGGTCCCGAAAGCCACAGTCAGGGCTGATTCCATGCCTTGTGACACAGCACTCTGAGCAGGAGGGTGTGACCTGTTTGGGCTGGAGGCAGCCATGGTGCTGCCGCGGAGGAGAGTGGACGCGGGGGAGCCCATGGGGACCGTGACTGGTGGGTGGGTTGACGTGACCTTGGCAGTGACTGATGGGCCATCCTGGCCTCTGGGGGTCGGGGAGGTTTGGGTCTAGAGGCTGAGGGGACGAGCTTGCCCTCAGCTCTGTGCTCGAGTGTCCCCTGGGCTCACGGGGTCTGCTCAGTAGAGTGGTCGTGGCCATGGCCCCAAGACAAGAGTGCAGACAGACCCAGGGCATGGGGGGCAGAAAGCCCCTGGCTTTGGGGCAAGTGTGTGGGCATGGCAGGGGTGGCAGCGGGGCATCTGGACCCCTGGGGAGCCAGCCAGGCCCCCACTGCGGGGGCAAGGACAGGCCGGCGGGAGGAAGCTGGGCCTTTGTCAAGGTTAGGGTCCTGTTTTCCCAAGATGAGGAGAAGCCTCTGGGTGCTTTGCAGGGGGAGCGGGCAGGGAGGGACCAGAGGGCTGCTCAGGGCGGACCCAGGGCCTCTCCCCAGAGACCAGGGCAGCCCCTGGGTCAGTGCCAGGGAGGCAGAGGCTTGGAGGGGCCACGCAGGGCCTGGGAGGGGCTGGGAGGGAGGGGAGGAGCTTGCCAGAGGGACACCCCGGGGGACGGACGAGGAATGTGCCCGTGCAGTGTGAGGGGACACAAGGCCACCAGCTAGAGACTGCTGAGGCCTTAGAGGGCTGCTTTAGACCCCTCCTGTGTGCAGGGGGCACCGCTGAGTGGTTCTGGGCCTGCCGGAAGGGTTGCGGCTGGGAGACGACCAGAGAGGACCGGCCTGGGCTAGCTGGCCGCCTCCCCTTGCGAGCTGCCCTGCGTGGGGGTCGCAGCCTGGGTCTGCCTTGGGGGATGTCCCCCCCAAGGGGCGATGGGCGGAGCCTCGTTTCCCCGGGCTGGGGGCTGATCCGGCCTCGGTTCCCAGGCGCTACGCACTGCTGCGGATCGTGAACGTGGAGAAGCGTCGGGACTCGGCACGCGGGAGCCGCTTCCTGCTGGAGCTGGAGGTGCGGGAGCGCGGGGGCGGCCGCTTGCGCCTGTCGGAGTACGTCTTCCTGCGCCTGCCCGGCGCCCGCGCTGCGGACGTGGATGGGGACGGAGAGAGTCCGGAGCCCACGCCCGCCGCCTCCCTGCGCCCCGACGGCCGCCCCGAGCTCTGCCGGCCGCTGCGCCTGGCCTGGCGCCAGGATGTCATGGTTCACTTCATCGTGCCAGGTGCGGGGGCGGGGGGGGGGCTCCGGTTTGACGGGGACGGTCTAGGAGGCTCTGTGGGAAGGGGCGCCGGCGTGGGGGCTGCGCGCGGGTGTGTGTGTGTGGGGGGGGGTCGGATGGGCTCAGTGGCCCCGTCCTCTAGTGAAGAACCAGGCCCGCTGGGTGGCACAGTTCCTGGCGGACATGGCTGCGCTGCACGCACGCACCGGGGACTCGCACTTCAGCGTGGTCCTGGTGGACTTCGAGAGCGAGGACATGGACGTGGAGCGGGCCCTGCGCACTGCGCGGCTGCCCAGGTGGGGGCACACCCCCAACACCGGTGGTGGGTGGGGGTTCCTAGCGCATCCTCCCTCCTGGGGAGACCGGGTTCTCCGGCGCCCAGGAACCCTTCCCTGTCACGCGCACCCGCAGCTACCAGTACCTGCGGCGGACCGGGAACTTCGAGCGCTCGGCGGGGCTGCAAGCGGGAGTGGACGCGGTGGCGGTAGGTGGGCAGGCCGCGGGCGGCAAGGCGGGACCTGCCTTTCCGAGGGGAGGGCCGCTGGCCGACCCCCCTGCTGCTTCCAGGACCCCAGCAGCATCGTCTTCCTGTGCGACCTGCACATTCACTTCCCGCCCGGCATCCTGGACGCCGTCCGCAAGCACTGCGTGGAGGGCCGGCTGGCCTTCGCCCCCGTGGTCATGCGCCTGGGCTGCGGGAGCTGGCCGGGGGACCCGCACGGTAACGCCGGGGCAGCAGCCAGACCTCCTGGGGCCTCCCCCATCCCGAGGCTGGCCTGCACCCCACCAAGGCCCCCGTAATGCCCTGTAGCGTCTAGGACACCCCCCCTCCCCAGAGTACACACGTCCTCCCCGGGTACCCCAAGGTCATGCCCCGCCGCTGGGAGCCTCCTCCCTACCTAGTCGTGTGCGGGGTTCCTAGGGTAGGACCCACAGGGAAGGGTGACCCTGGGAGCCCCCGGCTGAGGGGACCCGCCCCATCAGGGGACTGGGAAACCACCCGGGGCCAAGGTCCGAAAGCCCCCCTCGGCCCCCCAGGGTACTGGGAGGTGAACGGCTTTGGCCTGTTTGGGATCTACAAGTCGGACTTCGACCGCATCGGGGGCATGAACACTGAGGAGTTCCGGGACCAGTGGGGCGGCGAGGACTGGGAGCTGCTGGACAGGTGACCCTCCCCCCGTTGTGTGGGCAGACTCCCTCACCCAGGACCTGCGGCCTGCAGAGACCCGCAGCCCCACCCCGGGGTCCTGCAGACCAGGGACCAGTTCTGCCCCAAGACCTTGCAGGCCCAACGGGCGGGCACCCCCAGGCCCCCACCGGCCCCCGGGCCCTGCCGTGTGGAAGCCCTGGCCAGCTCCCTGCCCTGTAGCCCCCAGACCGGGGTCCTGGCGGCCCCCAGCCCCCAGCCCTGACGCCCGTCTCCACCCAGGGTCCTGCAGGCGGGGCTGGAGGTGGAGCGGCTGCGCCTGAGGCACTTCTACCACTACTACCACTCCCGGCGGGGCATGTGGGGCACACGCGCCCGCGGCCGGAAGGGCGCCCGCAGGGAGGGGCCTTGAAGAGCCGACGCTGCCCGGTGCCACTGCAGTCCCCAGCGCTGTCGGGGGCGGGGGGGCAGGGGCTCGCCGCAGGGGCCCAGCCCCACCTGTGCCTGTTCCCCGCGGCCTCCCGGGCTGCTGCCCCTCAGGCCCCCACCCAGACAGGCAGCCCTGACCGCGGGTCAGGCCCGGGCTCGCCCCCACCCGCTGTGCGACAATTTCTGTGAAATTTTGCCGTAGCGATGACGTTGTTTTCAGGATTTCCAAGAGTTCCGTCTGTTCCGTTTTTTATTCAGAATGAAATGAAATATTTTTTTTAGTTCCGACTGGTCCTCTGCCTGGCTCTCTTGGGAGGACAGAGATGGGCCCCCGTGGCGGCCAGAGGGCCCTGCACCTGTGGGTGGCCCTGGGCCCTACCGCTGCCCCCCGCGACCTTCCCGACCCGCAGCCACAGCGGCCTCGCTGACCCCGCCCTCCACCCCCAGGTCCACTGTCCCCTGCCCCCTGCCCGTCCATTCCCTTTGGACTTCGGCGTGGGGCCCTGGAGGGGACGGGCCGCAGACGGACACCGTCCTCACCACCGTGGCCCGTGGAGTCATGTGGCCTTCCCACCTGCGAGCAAAGCGCCCTCGCCACGCACTTGGTCCCCCACCCCGGAGACCCGAGACCCCGGAGACCCGAGCGCCAGCCCTGCCCCTCGCTCCTCGGGGGTGGGGGCCCGCGGCACCCTGGGTGGGGGCTGACCTGGGACCAGGCGCGCGGCGTGTGTCAGCTACATGCGACTGTTGCTCATGGAGCCGGCAGTTCAAGGGCGGCAGGGCACTAAAGAGTATCGGCCCAGAGGCTGAGGACCAGCTATTCCGGGGCACAGCCCCAGTTTCCAGCTGGGTTCCGGCGGTGGGAGGGAGGCGGTGGTCCGCCTGGTGCCAGGGGCCCGCCTGCATGAGGCGCGTGCAGCCGCTGCCACAACTTCCACAAGCGGTGGCGTTTCTGACCTTGCGGTTCTGAAGGTCACATCCTGAAACCGCCGTCCGACAGGGCAGCGCCCCTGGGGGCTGCAGGGTGGAAGCCGCTTCCGTTCCAGAGGCCGCCTGGACTTCTGGGCTCCGGGGCTCGTGCTCTGTCTTTGGAGCCAGCGCCCTCCCATGTCCCCGTGTCTCCGTGTCCCTCCCAGCCCTGCACCCGTCCTCACGTCCGCTCCGACCCTGGCGCTCAGACGGTCGTCCCCGCATCTCAGTCGACACCCTTTCCTCACTCACAGCCACAGGCCCCTTCCCCACGCGAGGCGGCCGTCGCGGGTCCCAGGGCTTACGGCGCGGACCCTTGCCGCTGTCGGCCTGGGCACCTGCTCCCTGGCACTCAGTGGGGAAACCGCCATGCATCTGCCCGGCGGCCCAAACAGTCCTCCAGGGATGCGCCCAAGTCCTGCCCCTAAGGCACTCCTCACTCAGATTTGTAACCTACGGACACAAAGCAGCAGGAAGAATTTGATAGAAGGAACCAGAGAGACGCTCCCGCGTGGCCCCGAGAACACCCTAGAGGTGTCCCTGCTGGAGGAGCAGCGGGAGGCACTCGGCTCTGGGCTGCCGGCTGCAGCAGCCAGCAGGTGTTCAGAGATGCCAAGTCACCTGTGACGTTCGGGCGTCATCGTAAGTCCCGCTGGCCCACGTGGGCAAGTGCCCACGGGGTGGAGCACACAGCTGACCGGCCACCTGCCCCCTCAGAAGCCCCCTGATGCCCCCAGCTGACGCTGCCCACTGCTCCCTGAGTACCCAACCCGGACGGGCCGTCCGCACTTGCAGATGCCGCGCGGCGAGGGAAGAACACGCTCGGGACTCAAGAGTCCACACGGGGCGGGGGTGGGGAGGGAGAGGAGCGGACTTCAACACATGGCGTCGGGACAGCTGGACAGACACGTGCAAAAAAAGGGCACTAGACCACTCGGTTACACCACACACAAGGCTAAACCCGAAGCAGAGGAGGGACTCCCACGTGAGACCGGAAACCGGGAAGCTCCCGGAGGGAGACAGGCAGCACAGCCTCCAGCTCCACCCTCAGCGGGGCTCTCTCTGTCTCTCGGCCGCGTGTCCCCGGGGCGGGGGGCGGGGGGACGACGACGCGGCAAACCGTGAGACCGCATCCCACTGGACAGTCCTGCAGAGGGAGCCGCCCACAGAACGACAGCCCGCTGCACGGGGGGGGGGGGGGCATCCGCCAGTGACTGACATTCTGTGAGGGGTCGCCGTCCGAAATGCACGAGAAACTCACACCACTTCCCACCGAAACACCAGACCGTCTGACTCAAAGACGGGCAGAGGCCCTGAATAGACGTTTCTCCCAAGAGGACACACAGATATCAAACAGGCATTTGAAAAAATGGTTGCTCGACATCACTAATCAACAGAGAAACGCAAGTTAAAACCACAGTGAGCCCTGGCTGGGGTGGCTCAATGGACTGAGTGCCGGCCTGTGAACCAAAGACCCTCTGGTTCAATTCCCAGCCAGGGCGCATGCCTGGGATAATGGCCAGGTCCCCAGCAGGGGGCGTGCGAGAGGCAGCCACACACTGATGTTTCCCTCTCTCCCTCCCTTCTCCTCTCTAAAAAATACATAAATAAAGTCTTAAAAAAAAAAAAAAGAAGAAAAGAAAGAGGAGACTTCCGGCCAAGATGGAGTCGTGGCTAGGCACACCTAGGATAACTCTCTGGTGGGTTTTTTTTTTTTACCATTTTATTTAAAGTTTTTATTCATTTGTTTTTAGAAAGAGGGGAAGGGAGGGAGCAAGAGAGGGAGAGAAACTGTGTGTGTGGTTGCCTCTCCTGTGCCCCTCCCACTGGGGACCTGACCTGCAACCCAGGCACATGCCTTGAGTGGGAATCAAACCAGTGACTCTTTGATTCACAGACCCATGCTCAGTCCACTGAGCCACACCAGCCAGGGCTACTCCCCAGTTTTAATCACATCTACTGAGTTCCTTTTGCCTGGGCAGGTAACTCACAGGATCCTCATATTAGGGTGTGGCATCCTAAGATTTTTTTTTTTAAGATTTTATGTATTTACTTTGGGAGCAAGGAGAAGGGAGGGGGAAAGAGAGGGAGAGAAACATCACCATGTGATGGATACATCCATCTGTTGCCTCTTGCATACCCCCAGTGGGGGACCTGGCCTGCAACCCAGGCATATGCCCTAACTGGGAATTGAACCAGCGACCTTTCGGTTCATGGTCTGGTGCTCAATCCACTGAGCCACACCAGTCAGGGCAGATTTTTTTTAAAGCTTAATTCAGCCCTGGCTGGCATGGCTTAGTGGATTAAGTGTGGGCCTGTGAACCAAGGGGTTGCTGGTTTGATTCCCAGTCAGGGCACATGCCTGGGTTGCAGGCCAGGTCCCCAGTAGGGGGACACATGAGAGGCAATCACACACTGATGTTTCTCTCTCTTTTTTTCTCCCTCCCTTCTTCTCTCTCTAAAAATAAATAATAAAATTTAAAAAAAATCGATGATAAAAACACTACTTAGGGACAAAGTAGAAAAAAATACAACTTTCTTTTCTCTTTTTAAATTGCTGTTCAAGTACAGTTGTCTCCATTCCCCACCCCGCCATTCTCCCCCGCCCCCCCAAACCCACCTCCCTCCCTCAATCCTACCCCCCCCCCCGCAGAAAAATAAGAGCTCAACAGAACTACAGGCCGCTTGAGCAATTCCCCAAACCAGAGCAGCCGCTGCCGGAGGCCCCGTGGAGAAGAGAAGACGGGTCTGGGGAAGCACAGGACGCGCGGTGGGAGAGAAGAGCTGGACGTGACGCCGGCCGAGAAGGCGGCAGAGGGCGGGGCACAGACCGGCCAGGAGACAGACAGGGACGGGAGCGGGGGGGCAGCGACACAGCGGGAGAAAACGCCGTGGGTCGGCGTAAACACAGGCCAGAGGCGCGGTTGGAAATGCTGACGCCAAAATGGGACCCTAGACGCACGTGCGGGAAGTCCCGGGCTGGGGTGAAGACCCGTGGGCGGCGGGCGGGCGTGCGGGTCCCAGCCCACCGTGGGTGAGGCGAACTCCGGCTCCTCCGCCGTGGGGGTCAGCAAATCGCCGGCCGAGTCCTGAGGGGCAGAAAGGACCGGCCCCAAATTACGCCCCGCTGCCCTGCGAGCCAGAGGCTCCTGGCGCCCAGGAGCTGACCACCACGCCCCAGAGCGAGGGGCTGCGAGCCCGGGGCGGGTGCCTGCCTAGGCCTCCGTGCCACCAGCCAGCACCAGCCCCCGGCACCGCTCCTGCCGTCGGGCTGTCCCTCGGTAAGACATCTCTCTGCACCCCCCAGCTTGTGATGTCACTTCTGGAGACCTACTTCGCCTCAAGGGGCCTCGGTTTCCCGACTGCAGCAAGGAGGGGGTCCCGGCTTTGCCTTCCTGAGGTTCCCGTGAGGGTCAAGAACGGGGAGTGACAAACTTTTTCAGCACCCTGCCCGGTACATGGGCCGCCCTAAGGAATCGGTGCCCCTGGCTGCCTCCTACCGGTTCTCTCAGGACCGACGAGGGAGCGTGGGCTCGCTCTCCTCCAGGGACAGGGGACTCACTGCTGGGGGAGGCGAGGCAGCTGTCCGCCCCCAAGCCCCCCGCCCCCACTGGGCCCCCGCCAGTCTCCCAGCTCACTCGAACTCACTCTCCCCACAGAGACTGAAGCTCTTCTGAGACACGAATCTGATCACCGCCCCCTGCTGGAAGCCCAGGGGATTCCCATGGCTCCTCCTACCGTCCCCACCTGGCGGTGCCTCCCGCCATCCTGCGCCAGGCAGGGCCCTCCAGTGCAAACAGGCTCCTCTCCGGGGCTCTGCCCAGACAGCAGGGACAGGCGCGGAGGCTGCGGCTGCCCTGCGGTCCCCGCAGGGTTCGCTGCCCGCTCACTGTCCACTCCCCCTGGACCCCAGCAGCCCCCGCAGAAAGATGCAGCTGTCAGGGTCACACACGCCTGTCTCCTAGAAGCACCGGGCTACAGGAAGGGCTACAGGAAGAGCTCAGAACGAGGGGCGGGCGATAGGTGGGGGGGGGAGCGTAGGTGAAAGGTGACAACCCGACCCCTGGGACCAGTATCCCTAGGGCACCATCCACGCCAAAGGCCAAGGCGGGGTGGGGGTGGGGGCACAGAGGCGGCCAGGTTCCCCGCCCAGGGTCACCTAGGGTTAGGAGAA